TACCATTTATTGAAAAGACTCCTCTTTTCCCATTTAATTGTCTTGGCATCCTTGTTGAAAATCATTTGACTGTAAATGTTAGAGTTTATTTATTTTTATTTATTTATTTATTTTTCCTTTTTGTCTTTTTTCGTGACCGGCAACGGATCGCAACCCTCAGTGTTGCGCCCGCACCTCGCTCAGCCAGTGAGCGGCCGGTCTGTATGTGGGATCCGAACCCTCGGCAGGAGCGCCGCCGCGCTTCCCAAGCGGCGCACTGTAGCAGTGCGCCACCGGGCCAGCCCAGCCACGATCACTCCTACTGATGTTTACCATACACAGAGGAAAGTGCACAGTGGTGCAGGTGGAGGTTGATCATCCACATGTGAACTGCACCTTGGAAATTGCCACTTGTCATGGCGTGAATGGTGGCCCCCAAAGATGTGTCCGCACCCTGACCCCTGGAACCTCAGTAGATGGGACTGAGGTGGAAATTGGGTTTTGGGCAGCATGACCGAGATAAGGTGCAGCCTGGGGTACGGAGGTCCCTAGTCATGATGGGCGTCCTTAGAAGAAGAGAAGTTTGGGTACGTGGTGACAGAGGCAGAGATTAGAGCAGTGTGGCCACAGGCCTAGGAACACCGGGGCTGCCAGAAGCTGGAGATGTAAGGATGGGTCCTCCTGAGGAGCCCCCAGCAGGACTGCAGCCCTGACCACACTTCGGTTGTGGATTTCCAGCCCCAGGACTGTGAGAGAGCACATTTCTGACATTTTAAGCTCCCCCGCTTGTGGCAATTGGTTATCGCAGCCACAGGAGACTAATCAGTGCCCCCAAAGCCCTTGCACTCCTCACTCTTATCACTCTCTGCCCCATGAGAAACCCCTTGTGGCACCAAAGGTTTTACTTGGCTGTAAGCTTTCCGTAGTTGTGTGCGGGATTGGGCCATACACACTCCTTTGTGGCTGCTGCTTTGGCTCAGTATTCTGTGTGCATAGATTTGTCTATGTCTTGTTCAGCAGTGATCTGTTCCTTCCCATTCTGTGTAGTTTCCCACTGTGTGTAGGGCTACCGGTAAAACATAGGATGTCCTGTTAGATTTGAATTTAAGGTAAGCTATGAATAATTTTTAATGTATGTTTCGTGCAGTGTTTGAAATACGCTTATAGTAAAAGTTATTTGTTGTTTGTCTGAAATTCACATATAATGGGACGTCCTGTGTTTTTATTTCCTGGCCCCGGCGACCCTAATATTGGATCTGCCACACACTCTGTGTACATTCTGCTGTGGTGGGCTGTCCCCGGTTTGGGGCAGCGAGGTGGCCTCCTTGTGCGCAGATCCTCAGCAAAGCACCTGGTCCCTCCCGTGTGGCCCTGCAGCTCTTCCTCCCGGCGTGACCACGTTAGAGCAGGAAAGGACCACACCTGGTGCGTGTGCTCAGATGATGCATCCCCTTTCTAAATTTGACAAGGGGAGGCAGACATTGTGACAAAACAGCTCCAACAGGGAGCAGCCTGTTACCCAGAGGGCCCTGCAGTGGCTTTACAATGGAAAGTGCCAGACGAGTTGCATGTGAGTGAAGTGTGTAGCTTGGTCGGGCAAGGGCGCGTCCCCCACTGGATGACAGTGAGGGCAAGGGGTCCCTTCTCATAGGTGAAATGCTTCAGTTCTGTTGCCTCTGTCTGGGGCGCTCATCCCCCTGGAACTCAGGGTTAGAGGTTCCAGACCCAGCTGTAAGGCTGTTTCTGGGCGTGTGTGAGCATGTGTGCACACACCTGTGTATGTGAGAGAGACTGGAGGGTGAGCTGACCAGGGCACCCCTTTCGCCGCTCCCTGGCCTGGTGGTGCCTTCCTCCGTCTCACCCTATTGTTTGTGTTACGGGCGGGTCAGAGCTTGAGGTTCAGCCTGTGGCTGAAACTGGTGGGGGCCTTGAGGATGAGGAACAAGCGTGTGGAGACAGGACTGTCCAGCAGAGGCACTCTCACCAGGGGCCCACTGAGTCGCCCTCCTGCACACACTTGCTCTGGGGCCTCGTTCCCCAAGGCTTAGCTATTTGCCAGATCCTTGGGTGTGTTTGTGTCTTGCAGGTCATTAGAAGGTGGAGATATGGTGGCTCCACTGTGCTGGGCAGGGAGAACATGAGAATCTGTCTTTCCTCTGCTCCCAGCCAGGAGTGTGGCCCAGCTTCAGAGTTGGAGGGTACTAGGAGGCTCCCTGCCCTGCCTGTGTGTCTGTGGGGCTGGCCGTAAAGACCAGTGGTGGGTGCCCATGTCTGCCATCTGCAGTACCAGGCCGTCATCATCCCATGGTGGTGGAGGATGCACAGGGAAAGGTGGGAGCTCCAGGGGCCGTGAGCAGGGAGCAGGCAGGCTCCCAGAGGAGGGCCTGGGCTACCTGGGCTTTCTAGGGAGGGTAGTGGGGCTGGAAAAGGCAAGTTCTAGAAGCTCATTGGGATGGCGGATTAGGGAACCTCTTCTCCTTCAGGGTGCGAGCTCTCCAGAAGAGGCAGGACCCCCACCCCCTCCACCCCGGATTTGTAGAGGCCTCAGATCCAGAACCTTGCTTCTTTGCTCTGGTTTCCTTACCTGTCGGCGATGGTCTTCATCCTGGCCCTGCTGGCACCTGGCGTCGTCTGCTGCTGTTTTGTCACCAAGAAGCACTTGCGGGCCTCTGGATGGGACCACCCTGAGGGAGGGCTGGGTGCAGGGGGAAAGATGGGGGGGGGCATTAGTTCATAGACAAGCACCAGGGGCCAGGATGGCTGCTGCCCAGGGGGTCCACACCAAGGGGAGGGAGGGTGTGTGACAGCCTTGGGATGGCCTGTCAGCTACCGGTGCTGGCCTTGGTTCCCTCCAGCTCTGGTGCTTTCTTTTCCTTGTGAGGCACCCGTTTTCCAATGCAGATATCAGGACCCTAGGCATGTGCCTCCCTCTGCTGAGGAACTAACCCTTTTTGACTTCCCACCCCCCAAAATGTGTGTAAGGATTCAGGAAGTAGTTGAAATTGGGGTAGAACTAATAAAATGTTATCTTGGGATAAAGGAGGTGACGTCACACGTCCCTCTCTCCCCCCACCTGGCCTCCTCCAGACTGTGCTCAGCAGTCCTGGGTCCAGTGAGGAGCTGCCAGCAAGTGGTCTGGGAGCTCAGTGAGTCCCACAAGCGTCACATCAGCCATCGCTGGCTGCTCTGTGCTGCCCTGAGCTGGTGACCTGGTGCTGTCCCTAAGACCCAGTGCCTAAGACCCAGGTGGCTCTGTCCCTACACGGACCATCCAGTTGGAAGGCAGTGTTAACCCAGTTGAAACCAGGAGGGGCACAGGAGACGACTTCATGAAGGTGGTGGGTGGCTGCACAGGGCCTTGGAACTAGTGGAGGCTGGCTAGGGGCCAGGGCTCGGTGACAGGGGATGCTGGCCTGGTTGTGGGGTCCTCTCCAGCTCTTCGTCTTGGTGGGTGGCAGGGCTTCATCTCCAGTCTAGAACAGGAGGATGGCACCTCTGATGTAAGGACAGCTCAGGGCTTTCATTCTGGGGGCTGGTTCTGGGGGTCCTGGTCCTGCTGGCTGTCTCCTCCAACCCTATTCCTGGGCAGGGCAGGGCAGGGCCAGGATGTGTGCACCAGGGAGTGAGAATGTGCAGTGTGCCGCATTCCAATGTCTAAATGCCCTCGTGATTTCTCTTCTGCTTTTAGGCACCTCATTCCGTATCTTTCCGCATTGGGCAGATGAGCAATGTAGAGTTGGACGATGAGCTGCTGGACCCGGTGAGTGATGCAGGCGCTTCCTGCTCCTCCCACGGAGCGGCGTCCTGAAAGACGGCAGAGGATGGCGGGTGGTGGGCAGTGCAGACAGTGTGGCTCCCGAGACTAGGTGTTCAGGGAGGGCTGCTTCAGGGGACATGACCCCTGGGGCCCCATGACTGGTGGCAGCCAGGTGAGCGGAGGGACATGGAGTGTAAGGCCCCAGGCAGGAGGGAGCGTGCGGTGGAAAGGAGGTGCAGGAAGAGCAGGTCAAGACAGCAGTTGCTGTGGGCAGTGAGAGGGACCTCAGATGGGCAGGAGGGGCCTCTGGGGCAGACGAGGACAGGGTTTCAGAGGGTTGGATCCCTTGGGAGGCATGAAGAAGTGGAGATGTCTCTGGACTTTGGAGGGAGTGGGTGCTGGCATCTCCCTAAAGCGATCTCTTCAGCCCCTGTGCCCTGATACCCTCTTTCCGGCAGCTGCCATGGGAACACTTCCTGAGCCCCACCCCCGGCAGAACTGGCATTGTGCGTCCCCCTGGTGGCACCTGGTGGGGGCTCTGCTGTGTGTTTCCTGTGGCTGGTGGCACCGTGTGTGCCGGCAGCCTCTGTCCGTCCGTCCAGAGCAGCATCTCCTCAGACCTGTGCCCACGTTGTATTTTCTTTTCTTTCTTTCCTTTCCTTCTTCATTTCCCTTCACGTGTGCCCATATTTAATTGGTCCCTTGTCTTTCTATAATTCAGTTGCAGGAGATCTTTTTACACGCTAGATGTGTTTCATCGGATGCGTGGTTTGCAGAAACTTTCCCCCATTCAGTGAGTTTTCTTGGCTTGCTTTCCTCTTTCTTGATGGTGTCCTTTGATGCGCAAAAGTTGTTCATTTTGGAGAAATCCAATTCTTCAGGGTTGTTTTTTGGTTTTTTTGGCGGCTGGCCGGTACGGGGATCCAAGCCCTGGACCTCGGTGTTACAACACCGCAATGAGCTAACTCAAGCCCCTGATCTGTTTTTTGTCGTGATTGCTAGCGCTTTTGGTGTCACATAAGACACCACTGCATAGTGATCCAGGTCACAAGGAATTATTCCTTTTCTTCCAAGAGTTTTTAGTTTTGGGTTTTTGATCCATTTTGAGTTAATTTTTGGATATATTTTTAGATATGGCATGAGATAAGGTTCTAACTTCATTCTTTTGCGTGTGGATGTCCAGTTGCACCAGCACCATTTATTGAAAAGACTGTTTTTCCCTCATTTAATTATCTTGACACTGTTGTCAAAAGTCAGTTGACCGTAAATGTTTTGGGTTATTTCTGGACTCTCAGTTCTGTCCCATTCATCTGTCTGACTGTCCTCGTGCTGTCTGCACTGTATGATGACTGCACCTTTGCAGTGAGCTTTGAGATTGGGCAATTTGCATCCTCCAACTTCATTCTTCTTTCTTTTTTTTTTGTCTTTTTTGTGACTGGTAAAGGGATCGCAACCCTTGGCTTGGTGTCGCCCGCACCACACTCAGCCAGTGAGCGCACCGGCCATCTTTATATAGGATCTGAACCCACGGTGGGAGCGCCGCTGCGCTCCCAAGCGCTGCACTCTCCCGAGTGCGCCACGGGGCTGGCCCTCATTCTTCTTTCTGAAGATTGTTTGGGCTATGTAGGGTCCCTTTCATTTCTATGGATTTTAGGATCACCTTGTCAATTTCTTCAAGAAAAGCCAGCTGACGTATAGATAGGGATTGCATTGAATCTTAACAATATTAAGTTTTCTGATTTATGAACACAGTATATCTTTTAGTTTATTTAGTTCTTTAGTTTCTTCCAACAGTTGTTGGTAGTTGTTAGTGTGCAAGTCTCGTACTACTTACATTAAATTTATTTTATTTTATTTTTATTTTATTTTATTTTTTTTGTCCTTTTTGAGACCGGCCGCACCGCGCTCAGCCAGTGAGCACTGTGAGTGCACCGGTCATCCCTATATAGGATCCGAACCCTCGGCCCGTTAAATTTATTTTAGAAGTGAATTTTATTTTCCGTATTTTATTTTGGATGTTATTGTAAATAGAATTGTTTTGTTAATTTTATTTTGGGGTTGTTTATTGTGAATGCATAGAGATACAATTATTTTTGCACGCTTTAACCTTACTAAATGTGTTTATTAATTTCCATAGTTTTTTAGTGTATTTCTCAGGATTTTCTGTGTATGGGATCATGTTATCTGCAAGTAAAGACAGTTTCACTTCTTCCTTTTCAATCTAGATGCCTTTTATTTCTTTTTCTTGTCTAATTACCTTGGCAAGAACCTCCAGTACAGTGCTGCATAGAAGTCATGAGAACAGACAGCCTTGCCTTATTTCTGATGGGGGAAGCATTCAAGTCGTTTCTTACGTTACTGGTGTTAGCTATGGGTTTCCGTAGATGCCCTTTATCAGATGGAGGAAGTGCCCTTTTGCCCTGGTTTGTTGAGTGTATTTGTGATGAAGGGATATTGGATTTTGTCAAGTTACTTTTCCATGTCTGTTGAGGTGACCGTGTGGGTCTTGTCCTTTGTTCTGTTGATTTGGGGATGTTACACCAGCCTTGTGTTCCTGGGATACGTCCAGCTGCGTCATGGTGTTGCCAGGTTTGCTCTGCCCGTTCCTCATTGAGGATCTTCTTTTTTGCAGTTGTAGGGGATGTTGGTCTGTCCTGTTCTTGTCATGTTCTTGTCTGTCTTCGGTGTTGGGATAACACTGGCCTACTGGGATGAGTTGGGCAAGGGTCTGTCCTCTTCTCTTTGTACCTTATGTCGGAATGTCCTGGATTGTCAAGTGTGTGTCTGTCTCTGCCTTTTCTTTCCATAGGAAGTGGACCCTCCCCATCTCTTCCCCAAGGAGATCCCACACAACGAGAAGCTCCTGTCCCTCAAGTATGAGGTGGGCCTCCTACTGTCCACCCCATCCCTGAGGTCCAGGCCTCTGCCCTGCCCCATCCCTTCGTTTCCCACTACACTTGTGTCCAGAGTATCTGGATCAGTAACCGGTGCTGTCCCTGCCATTCTGGTCTGCAGAGCTTGGACTATGACAACAGTGAGAACCAGCTATTCCTGGAGGAGGAGCGGCGGATCAACCACACGGTGAGCTGGGGCTGGGCTGCCCGAGACCCTGCCCCTCGCAGGCGTCCTGTGGTCTTTTATCCATGATGCTGGTCCTCGGGGCCTGGACTCTGCTCTCAGCCACCCTGGTGACTGCAGGGCCTACCTGGCTGCTCTTCTGCCCTGGGTGAGGTGAAGCGTCTGCTCCATCTCCCCCCCCCTCCCCTGTCCCCTCCTCTGTCCCATCCCCTGTTCTCTCTGGTGTGTGTTGGGGGGGGAACCTGGAGCATGTGATGTCCGACCCTGATGCCAGAAACAGTGGTAGAGCATGTCAGGCCGTTGAAACTAGGAGGCTCTTCTTAGAGATGCCAGACGTGGTACCCAAATACCAACAACTGATTGTGAATTTTGGGGAAGCTCAGCTGCTTCCCCCAAGTTGCCACGCAGCCTGAGTTGCTCCATGGTTGCTGAGATGTGGCCAGAGGCCGCCCTTGGTGGAACTTGGGTCCTGAGTGCATTGCCTCATGTGTAGGGGCAACCTTCGGAGGTCTAGGAACATGTGGGTGGCCAGGCCAGGCACTCCGTCACTAGGCATCTGGCCTCCACACCCAGTCCTGACCAGGCCTGTCCCCTCGCAGGCCTTCCGGACAGTGGAGATCAAGCGCTGGGTCATCTGCGCCCTCATCGGGATCCTCACAGGCCTCGTGGCCTGCTTCATTGACATCGTGGTGGAGAACCTGGCGGGCCTGAAGTACAGGCTCATCAAGGATAGCATCCTTGTCTGCGAGGGCACAGTGTGGATGGGGCGGGGGGGGGTGATCAGCAGCATCTGGCGAGGGTCTGGTGGTGCAGAGCAGGCCATGAGGGGATGTTTCCAGCTCCAGCAGGAGAAGCCTCCTAAGCCTGGTGTGTTGATGGTCCATCTGGGAGAGGCCTGGTTGGGGTTGGCCATGTCTGTCATCGAGGACTGTGAGATGTCTCCTGGATATCCACTTGGTGCCCTGCCCTGCCGTGTGCTCTGGGGCGAGCTCCTGTGGGGCAGCCATCAGCGCCTGTGCTGGTCCCCATCTCAGGCTGCTCTGGGCCTGGGAGGCTGGGTCACAGGGGTGCAGGGGGAGGGGTGTATGGGTCCAGATGGCTGAGCTGCCCGTATCCTTGACAAGCACCCAGATATCGACAAGTTCACAGAGAAGGGCGGCCTGTCCTTCTCCCTTCTGCTCTGGGCCACGCTGAACTCTGCCTTTGTGCTTGTTGGTTCTGTGATCGTGGCCTTCATAGAGGTATGGTAGCAGGAGGCCCCCAGGGTGTGTCAGACCCAAGTTGGGCTTGGAAATTCCCAGTGAATAGACAGAGACACTTCCAGTCCATCCACCCATGTGATCTTGTCGGCACTTTCTGCCAGGAGAATCACGTGGTTAGGTTTTGGTAGAATTGTATGATAGGGACATGAAACTGTTCAGTAAAAACAGAAAACACATCTGGGCCTCCTCACCCCCAGACTCCTGGTGGTGCCACCCCCAACCCAACAGCACAGGCCGGTGCCTGCAACCCCCCCACCTTCACCCCACACACATCCCATGCCTCCCCCACATCCCCCCCGACACCACGCCACACCTATATGTGGCAAGATTCACCCTGGGCAGTGGCACCACCAGACACTGGGGTGCTCCAGGTATTCAGGATCTCAGAAGCAGGGCTGACTGCCTAGTGGTCCAGGCACAGGAGGGGGCAGACCAAGGGGATGGGACCCTCCCAGGGTGTCCTTCATCCTGGGGCTTCTCCCAGAAGGCTGCTTTTCCTGTGGGACTTGTCATGGGGTAGAGCAGGTGCAAGAAGGAAGAGGGGGCTTCCAGAGCCTCCTGTCCTGGGTGCAGAGCGGTGGCCCTGTATGTAGGAAGTGCTGGTTTTTTCTTGCTTAGCGTCTGACGAGGGCCCGCTCTGTCCTGCAGTGTCCCCACTGCCCCAGCTCATGTCCCACAAGGTTTGGTCACTCTGTGTTTGGGGTAGGGAGGACTGAGAAGGATTACCCCCAGCCGTGAGGCCCCTCCCTGGGCTCCCTGTGTTTCCTGGGCTGTAGGGTGCCCCACTCAGTGGCATTGCCCTCTCATTTCAGCCGGTTGCCGCTGGCAGTGGGATCCCCCAGATCAAGTGCTTCCTCAACGGGGTCAAGATCCCCCATGTGGTGCGGCTCAAGGTGAGGATTGTGGGGTGAACCCAGGCTGGGCATGAATTGCTTGTCCCTGGGGTCTTTGCTGGTTCAAGAGCAGGTCTTCTGTCCACTTGCACCTGCATGAGCAGCCCTGGCCGTTTGGAGACAGTGCACTGCAGGTGTGCTGACAGCTGTGCAGAGGGGGAGCTTGCACTTTTTCTTGATGGTAGTAACAGAACAGTAGGCACATTGTGATTGCAGCTGCGTAATACAGTCTAACTAAGGATGGTGTGGTCGCTGATATTTCATAACAGAAGTAGTTATGTTAGAGTGGTAGACTTGTGATTGTTCTTCCCTTCAAAGTTTTCCTGAGTCCTGATTATCCTTAATATTATCAACAACATCCTGATTCCGTAGGGGCCAGGGAGTCATGACCACAGCCCTTCCGGTGGCTATTTCTGTCTGTACAGCCTGACACGGGCCAGAGGGCTTTCTCCTGTCCTCATCTGTGGAGCGGGTGGGCAGGGCAGTAGCTGCCCCTGGGGTGCTCCCAGGGCCTGGAATGGGGCTGTGTGGTCACATGCCTGGGACGGGGGGATTCAGCCAGTGATTGTGGGGGAGGCTGTTTCTTTGCTGCACAGCAGAAAACGGTTGACCTGTGTCACCCGTACTGGACTGGATAGAATCTTCTAGAATGTTTTTGCTAAATGTGTTTTGTTCACTGACTCATTGGGGTTGAGAGGCTTCCTTAGTGTCTTTATTTGGCATCAGGCTCTCATCCCCGGTGTCTCCATCCTTCCTGCGGGTTCTGTGCACAGGACGATGCGTGATAAGTTGTGTGGATTTCTGAACCTTGCAGGGCCCAGGTGACAGAGTCACCTCCTGCTTACCCTTGAGTGAATATGGTGGGCTCCGACAGGTGGGGAGTCATCAGTGCCCACCCCCTTCATGGTTCTGGCCTGGCGTGGGGAGGTGGGCAGTAAACACGCATCCAAGATGGGACACGCAGAGGGAATGTGCGGGCAGGGAGTGCCCAAGGAACGGATGTGTCATGAAGCCCTCCATGTGACTGCACTTGCTGTGTGAAGGTTGCAGGAGGACTAGCCATGTGTTAAGCTGGGAGATGGAGGGGCCGCCTGCCTATGGGGGGCTGAGAGCAGAGATGCAGACTGTAGGGCGGGTTCTACAGCTTGTCACTGATTTGGGAAGGAGAGGCCCACCCTGGAGTGTGTGGAGGCTGGAGCCACAGCTGCCTCTCTGACATTTCTTGTGGGGGAGAGAATCGGTGGAAGCCCTCCTCCCCAGGACACCGCTATTGGGCACAGCCCCTACCCTGGGCTACCTTCATAGCACTGTGTCTTCTGTCTGCATCTTGGGTGGAGTCTGCCCTCTAACCATGCCATGCTTTTTCCTGCGTTCCAGACATTGGTGATCAAAGTGTCCGGTGTGATTCTGTCTGTGGTCGGGGGACTGGCTGTGGGAAAGGTAAAAAATCCGTGTGACGTTGTCCCAGCCTGAGTCTGTTTGCCTGTGCCCTGGGAGAGACGCAAGGCTGTGTATCATTGCTGAGAGTAGTTGTTGGGTTTCCAGGAAGGGCCGATGATCCACTCGGGCTCTGTGATCGCAGCTGGGATCTCCCAGGGCAGGTCAACGTCACTGAAACGAGATTTCAAGGTGAGCCCTCTCCACCTGCCACACCCATGGACGACAGATGCCACGGTGCAATAAGCGGCCCTCAGAGAGCTGGGCACAATGCCATGGTGCCAACATCCTCACCAGGACCCAGGGGTGGGGGAGCCCCGTGTTGTGGAGGGACAGCCTGGCCTGCTCCCAGATGGGTGACTCCTTATGTCATGTGTGGCTGTGTGTTCTCCTGTGGAAGGGTCTGTAGTTCTGAGCAGCTCCTCAAAGGGAAAGACACCCTGAGAAGAGGGCAGCTGTGCACAGACAGGTTGTTGGTGTTTATTTCTCAAGATACACTTTGGAAGAATTTTGTCATGTTTCCCCAAAAAGTCAACAGCATTTTGATGGATATTGCTCTGAATTTAAGGACAGTATTTTTACAGTATAGTCTTTTAAAATCAAGAATGAGTTCAGGTTTCTCGTTTATTCAGTTTTCTTTAGGTCTCTCAGTGGGTTTTGGGTTTTTGTATATCTCTTGCACGCATTGTGAAGTTGCTTGCTGGTGGGATGCTTTCTGTTATTTTTTCCTGGTTGTTGGCGTACAGGAGACTTTCAGCCTGCTTTCTCTTGCCGCCATCTAGTTTCCCTCTTCGTGAGTCCAGTAGTCACAGACTTGATTGTGGACAAAGCCCCTGCCCTCCCCCTCCTGTCTCTCGGCCCCTGTCTGGGCAGCCTATGGTCCACCTTATTCTCCGAGGGAAGTAGCTATCTTTGCAGGACCTGCCCACGACCCTGCATGTTTGTTCTGGTTTCAGATCTTTGAGTACTTCCGCAGAGACACAGAGAAGCGGGACTTTGTCTCGGCAGGAGCAGCGGCTGGGGTGTCAGCTGCGTTTGGAGCCCCCGTGGGTGAGGAGGGACCACCCCACTTTCCCTGCTTGTTTGAAGGAATAGTCTTTGTGTTTGCAAACTGAGTCCAGGGAGGGTGTGGGCCCGTGCTGCGGAGCTGCTGGAAAGCGGATTTGGAAGAGGCCAGTGTGCCCAGGCTTGGCCCTCAGGCCTTCCAGGAGGCCTCTCTTCCTGTGGCCTGTTCCCACCAATGGTTTCCATCCAATGCAGTCAGCTCCCTGGGTCTGGGAGCAGGAGTTGGTGGTGGGTGCAGAGTGCCTTGGGACCTGGGGGCCCTTCAGGCCCGGCTACCTGCCTTTTAGGTGGTGTCCTGTTCAGCTTGGAGGAAGGTGCATCCTTCTGGAACCAGTTCCTAACATGGAGGATCGTAAGTGCCTGCTGACAGCTGTCCTTGGCCAGGGCTCCCACGTCCTCACCCCGAGGTCAGGAAGTACTGACAGCACTCGGTGTCCTCACCCGAGCTTCCTGCTGGGCCCAGCTGAAGCACTGAGGGTGCTGCCCAGCTCCCCCTTGGCCACTGCCAGCCTCGGGGGCTCCTAGCTGTGGGACAGGGTGGCCAAGAGCCCCAGGCTCTGCCCACCACCTTCTCTTCTGGCTCGGGTGGGGTCCCCTGCAAAGCGCGGCCTGAGGGCATGGCCTCTCTGCCACAGTTCTTTGCTTCCATGGTCTCCACCTTCACCTTGAACTTCGTCCTGAGCATCTACCACGGGAACGTGTGGGACCTGTCTAGCCCGGGCCTCATCAACTTCGGGAGATTTGACTCAGAGGTAACCCGCCACACAACCCCACCACTTGCTCGCTGCTGCCAGCACCCCGTTCCCTTAAGGCCCAGACCCGGGAGCCTGGTCTTGTGGAAAGTGTTGGCTCTTGACTGTGGAATGGAGCTCCGCTCATGGGCTCCAGGAAAAACGCATGTCCTCCTGCTCCTGCGGGCCAGGCTGCCCGGCAGCCAGTGGCACTCGGGTGTGGGACAGGGCTCAGCAGGCACAGGTGCCGCAGCCCCTTGCTGGTTCAGGCCCCTCTCCCAGGTACTGGGAGATGGGCGGCAGGCACTGGGAGCTGTGCAGAACCCCTGAGAGCCCCCAGGCAAGCCAGGCTGAGAGAAGAGTGAGGTCTGCACAAAACGCAGCATTTCTCCTCTTCCACAGGACCTCTGCCACCCTGCAGGAAAGTGTGGAAGGTTCTGTGTAAGGGCAGGTCTTACATAACGTCCAGTTGAGTTCGAATGGAGGATAGCTATGGACGCTTCTCACCGCCTTTGCTCTTTCTCTCTCTCCGCACAGAAAATGGCTTACACCATCCATGAGATCCCGGTCTTCATCGCCATGGGTGTGGTGGGTAAGGGCCTTCCCCACAGGATGGCCCCAGGAGTTGGAGCATGAGGGGTGGGGGTCAGGGCCTGTGGCCTTCAGATGTGGCTCAGCTCTGAAGTGGCACAGAGGTGAGAAGAGGCCACAGCTAGCCATACAGGGCTGTCTCTCTTGGGTTCTTCCGCGGGCAGTGCACTCACAGGAGGAAACACCAAAACCCAGGCAGGGCCACAAGCCTCGTTTTCTGCTGCTTCCTGTTACTTCTTCGATGGCAAAACCAACCAAGGGGGGTGGATATTTTTTCCTGCAAGAGGCAGGGTGGGCTCCAGCAGCACGAGTGCTCTGTAAAGTGCCATGGAGAATAAGCTCATCCACCCTTTGGCATGCGGTGACATAGAGGAAGCACTGTGACAGCACCCTCCCGGTCGTCCTCCCCCACAAGCCCTCGGGTTCTCCCGTGGCCCCCACCTTCCCTGCCCATGTGACCGACACAAGCCTGCTCTCTTGGTCGTAGGCGGCATCCTGGGAGCCGTCTTCAACGCCTTGAATTACTGGCTGACGATGTTTCGAATCAGGTGAGGAGGAAGCCTTGGCCGTATGGGGCCCTCGGAAGCAGACATGGTCCTGAGCTCTGCACCAGGGCCCAAGCTGGAGGGCCCTTCCCCATGAGCTGCTCAGCAGAGCTGTGCTGGGGTGGCGCGTGGCCTGGGGGAGGGGACCAACAAGCGCAAGGCTGGAGGAAGGTTAGTAGCCCTGAGAGGCGTGAGGGCTTCTCACGTGCAGGAAGAGAATATAAGTCCTGTGTGAACCCAGAATGGGCCCTGGATTTATTGCGGTGGCATCCCTGCACGCTGCACGTGGCTGGCCTTCTAGTATTAGGGGAGTAACGCTGCTTGCTCCTGGACCAGTGTCCACTACTGATGGGGAGCAGGTGTCCTCGAGGAGCTACTGCTGTGAGGTCTTTATCACTGCAGTGCAGAAGATAATCCCAGAACATTCGGGAGTCTGGGCGGATAGCTTATTTAATGTGCCATGTCACCTCCTGATCTGTGTCCTCTGGCGGGCATCTGCAAGTGGCAGATTCAGGTTGCCATGGCCACTGTCCGGGGTGCAGCGATGGAGCTACACGGCCATCCCGCAGCAGGTGCCTCCTAACTCTTGGTTGCAGGTACATCCACCGGCCCTGCCTCCAGGTGATTGAGGCCATGCTGGTGGCTGCTGTCACAGCCACGGTCGCTTTTGTGCTGATCTACTCATCCCGGGATTGCCAGCCCCTGCAGGGGAACTCTATGTCCTACCCACTCCAGGTAGGAGCCCTTGCTCAGGCCCTGCTCATGGCAGGAGAGCTTGGGGGGCAGGGGGTGCTCATGAGTATGGGCCCAAGAGAAACACAAACCTGCATCCACACTGAAACCTGTGCACGACATTCACGGCAGTAGGACTCACAGTAGCCTCCAAGTAGACACTGCCACGTGCCACCGCAGGTGGACAGTGAGTGGAATGTCGGTCATGCAGTGACCTTTATTCTGCCATAGAAAGGCTTGGGGCACCGCACGCTGCAGTGTGGTTGAGCCTCAAAAACATGCTCAGTGACAGAAGCCAGATGCAGAAGACGACACGCTGTGGGATTCTCTTGATATGAAGTGTACAGAACAGGCGAATCTGCAAAGGCAAAAAGTGGATCGGCAACTGTGGGCTGGGAGAGGGTGGAATGGGAGCAACTGCTGAGGGGGGCAGGTGTGAACGAGCTGGTGGAGGGGTGGGCCCGGGCCGTGCAGACCAGCTGTGAGGAGGGGGTGGGGTCAGTGAGCCCAGCCTTACTCTGCCTTAGCCCTGGTACGGGAGCCTTGAGGGGCTGAGGGCGCTGACATCTGACTGCTCACAGTGAGCTCCTGGGTTGCCATTTCCCCCTGGCTCCAAGGACAGACTGCTGTCCAGCCCAAGGGTCCTGTTGGCCAGCCCCTGGCAGGGGTGGGCATGCCTTAGCGAGGCCCTCACAGCTCAGGGCCTGGGCGCTGTGTCCTCCCTACCCTCCGTGGCAGTGGGTCTGCCCCCCAGCATTTCCTCTCCCCCAATTCTGCAGCTCTTCTGTGCAGATGGCGAGTACAACTCCATGGCTGCAGCCTTCTTCAACACCCCAGAGAAGAGCGTGGTGAGCCTCTTCCATGACCCACCAGGTGCGCGCTGCTCAGCACCCTCAGGCTATGGCGTGGGTGACCCCTGCGGGCAGAGGTCACCTCACTGGGCTGGAGGGTCACCTTTGCTTGGGTGGTGGGCACTGGAGGCCAGTACGTCAGGACCCTTTTGTACCTGCTGACAAGTGCCTTCACGTGGGTCCTGGCCAGGCTCCCACGACAACTGCTGCCTCTCCTTCCTGGTGCCGTGGTCCTGGGACCACTTCCATCTGGCCTTCTAGAATAAGTTTTCCTTCTGGGCGCTGCTTGCTGGGTCACTCTTGGTCAGAAAACCCACACCGGGACCCTGGCTCAGCCTCTCCCAGCCACGCTTTTTTTTCATTATGGTAAAACACATGTAACATAAGCATCACCATCTTAGGCATTTTTAAAACCAGCCACCCGTGTTTAATAAGGGTGCAGATTGCTGTGTGGCATTGTGTGCCTCTCACCTCACCCATCTCGGTCCCCAGCAGCCTCCCCTGCCCCACACCCAGAGCAGTGCCGCAGTGCCAGGCCCACGGGGAAGCAGGGTGGTTCTTGTGTCTGTCTCTCAAGCACCTCCCCTGCCTTTTATTGTTCACCACATTTTCCATCATGACCTGGCTGGAGACCATTGAGGTTGTTTCTAATTGTTTCCTGTCACAAATAGGCCACCAGGAGCTTCCCAGTCCATAGGTCTGTGTGTGTGTGAGGAATTAGTTGACAAAATTTAACAGAAATCCTTTTAAATGCAAGGTGGCACTGGCCCCAGATCCCTTCTTAAGCAGCTCTGACCCCCTGGGCAGCACCAGGCATCTTGTGTGTTCTTGGTTCCAGCATTTGATTGTTTCTTGTGTCAGGTGGTCACTTGGTTGGAGTGGTGGCCGATAGCCTTACATACACCACCACCTCCCTTGAGCCCTGGGATCTGTGCCTTGGTGCTGTTTGCACACAGACAGGTGGTGACTCCCCTTGGCCCCAAGGTCACCGTCCTACTGGCCACAGAAGACCCTCTCCCTGTTAGCTTTCTTTCTCTGGCTTCTTGTCCACAAATCCCACCTCTCAGCACATTTCTTGGGAAGAGCAAGCCTCTTAGGAATTGGCATTCAACCTATGGGAGCTGCGGTGGCCAGGCTGCCCTCCACCTTTCCCACATGCGGCATCTTCATGTCCCTGCAGCCCCAGGGCCCCAGCAGGATGTGTCTCAGATGCCTCTTTACCTGCCTAGTTTTCCCTAGGGCCACAGGGACTAGCCTCTGAAGCCCAACCCGTGCTCAGACATGGGGCAAGGCACCTTCTAACTCAGTTGGTTTGAGGTCAGATGGGCAGTGAGCCAAGCCGCCCAAGTAGGGAGGCTAGTTGCTGCCTGCAAGGTGAGCCAGGATGGGGTACCCTTGCCCTGGACCAGGCTAGCACTGTGCTCGATGGGGCTAGTGATTATTCTGGAGGGTGTGGAAACATTAGTGAAACGGGGCAATCCCAGCCCCTGTCCCACCAGGAAGACGCTTCCTGGGGCGGGGATGCAGTTCACACCCCTGCATGCAGTCCCCGCCCAGTTCCTGCCCCGGCCAGTGCGTGAGATTGCAGCATCAGGTTGCCCTGCACAGCTTCCTTCCCAGCTTCCCCGTCTGGCCCTTGCATCCCTTCCTGTTCCTGGTGAGACTGAGGACGCAGAGCTTGTGGGGGACCACCAGGGGCTCAGGGAGCCTGGCTGCCAGGTGTGGCCACAAGGGCCACAAGGGGGCAGCCGGGGGACAGCCCTGCCTGAGTCTGTGTGGGAGGCCCCATCAGTCCCTCCTCTCTCCCAGGCTCCTACAACCCCATGACCCTTGGCCTGTTCACCCTGGTCTACTTCTTCCTGGCCTGCTGGACCTATGGGCTCACGGTGTCTGCTGGAGTATTCATCCCGTCCCTGCTGATCGGGGCCGCCTGGGGCCGGCTTTTCGGCATCTCCCTGTCCTACCTCACGGGAGCGGCAGTGAGTGGGGGACAGGGCTGGAGGAGGAAGGATGCAGGCCCTCAGCTAACATGCTCCTGGTGGTCCCCAGCCCAGAGCAGGGGTTTGGTGAAAGCGTTGGAGCTCTCACAGAGCTTCCCTGGGCCAGGGGGTTTTTTTGTTTGTGTGTGTCTGACTTTCCTCCACGTCACTCCTTGCAGATCTGGGCTGACCCCGGCAAGTATGCCCTGATGGGCGCTGCTGCCCAGCTCGGTAGGTCCTGGCTCCTGCCTGGCAGAGGGGTGGGCTCTGTGGGGTCGGGAGGGGGCACCCTTCATGGGCAGGGCCGAGGTGGCCTCACACAGAGCATCAGTCTCCGTTTATGTGAACAGAGTGGGAAGTGTGCCCACAGCAGACCTGGCTGTTGCTGTCCTGTGTGACTGGGGTCTAGAGGTGTGGTGGATGCTGGGTGTGGCACGGGGATGCAGGCATGGTGGCTGGGGCTCATGACCTCCCCACAGGTGGGATTGTGAGGATGACCCTGAGCTTAACGGTCATCATGATGGAGGCCACCAGCAACGTCACCTATGGCTTCCCCATCATGCTGGTGCTCATGACTGCCAAGATCGTGGGTGATGTCTTCATCGAGGTGCAACCTTCCTCTTGCCTTGGGCCCTTGGGAGCGGGCACGGGGCAGGGGGGACCTGGGCGGGCACAGGGCGTGGGGTCACAGTGGTGCAGGTGCACAGCGTGGGGGCCCTGGGGTGCAGGTGCACAGTGTGGGGTCATAGTGGTGTGGGTGCACAGCGTGGGGTCACAGTGGCTGTGCCCGCAGGGCCTGTACGACATGCACATCCAGTTGCAGAGTGTGCCCTTCCTGCACTGGGAGGCCCCAGTCACCTCGCACTCGCTCACTGCCAGGTATGGCCAGCCAGCCAGCCACTCTGCCCCACTCCTGCCTCCCTCGGGGCCTTGTTCCCGCCTTGTTTGGGCAGAAGGACCAGCAGGCATAGGGCTGTCCCACTGGGCTCCCTCCACCTCAGGCTGGCCTGTGACTGGTTATGCAGCATATGTCTGGGGGGTCCAGTGTGAGTAGGAGGAGCCTGGATGCCTGAGTGGGGAGATGCTGCGTGGCATCCAGGCTGTTGTCACGGCCCCATCCATGTCTGGGCCTTCCAGGTCCATGTGGTGCAGGGGGTATGGGGTCCTCAGGCTGCTGGCTCCTTTGTCTCCCGTTTCCTACTCCAGCAGCTCTGCGCCTGTCGGGCATCAGCATTGGTAGAGAAAGTGAGACTTGAGGAAGTGCCTCACCAGTGCTGTGGCCGCGCAACATGTGCGCTCTTTTCTGGCAGGGAGGTGATGAGCACGCCAGTGACCTGTCTGAGGAGGAGGGAGAAGGTTGGCGTCATCGTGGACGTCCTCAGCAGCATGGCGTCCAATCACAACGGCTTTCCTGTGGTGGAGCACACAGACGACACCCAGGTACTTGGCCCTTCCCAGCCCACCGAGGGCCTCTCTACGCTGTGTCTGTTGCAAGGTGGTGGCATGGGGTCACATCGTGTAGGTGACAGGAGTGAAGGAACTCTGCGCTAGGGTGTGTAGTACAGTTCCGTTAGCCTCAGAAGGAGAGGACGTCCCACAACTGTCGAGAACGCAGGGGCTGTGAGAAAGCTGTCCCTGGGGCTGGGTTGGTGGGCTTGTCAGGGGTCTCATGGGCATCACCCACAATCATCAGCTGTGGAGTTGGTGGCTGTGGACTTGTCACGAGGCTTTGGAGGAACATACATTTCTCTCCAGGGCCTGGTCTGCTGGGGCGCATCATACGTTGACATTGGGTGGTTTGAGATGGATTTTCATTGGAGCTTGCATCTCACCCACCTGCACATGCTCTGTGTTGTGCCATCTCATTCTGCTCTGTGCAGTGATGGTGATCCTGCCAAGACATAGGTCCTCTGGGGAATAACAGGATCATACACAAGGCCAGTGCTCCCAGGTGGTCAGTCCAGCTGGAGCAGGGTCTGAGCCAAGCCCCCCAGCAGGTGTTGTCAGGCCTCCAGACACTTCTCTCTTGCAGCCTGCCAGGTTGCAGGGCCTCATTCTGCGCTCCCAGCTCATCGTCCTACTGAAGCACAAGGTGGGTGTGGCAGGTGCGAGGACGTGGCCACCCCAGCCCGTGGGGACAGAGCCTCTGGGGTGCTGGGAGCCGGCCCTGCACAGCATGTGACACAGCCACTCCCTGCAGGTGTTTGTGGAGAGGTCCCACATGGGTCTGGCGCAGCGACGGCTGAGGCTGAAGGACTTTCGTGATGCCTACCCACGCTTCCCCCCGATCCAGTCCATCCACGTGTCCCAGGATGAGCGCGAGTGCACCATGGACCTGTCTGAGTTCATGAACCCCTCCCCCTACACAGTGCCTCAGGTGCCCACTGGTTGCATGTGGCAGGCTTGATAACGAGGGAGGGGGTGGGTCCTCCTGGAATAGGGTGGAGTGGCCACCTTTGGTGACAGGCATAGTGGAGCCATGGCCGTCTGGGGAGAGGCCACGTGACCCGAGTGTGCATTTGGTGGTTGGAGTGCGGGATCATGAGGAAGAGCTGGGAGAAGCTGGCGTTATGCGAGGACTCAGGTTCTGTCCCCTGGGAAGCTGGGTGTTTTGACAGATCTTAGGCTTCAGAGAGTCCAGCTGCAGCAGCAGGGATTGGGGGTATAGGGGATGCAGAGCTAGAGCTGAGGGGCCCAGGCAGGCAGGGCCAGATGGGAGTGGAAAGGAAGAATGGCCAGGGTGCATCTTGACATCCTGTGGTAGGGGGTGTGCCTGGGGGCACCTGTCCTGAGTTTGGGGGCGCACTCTGCTTTTGGTGGGGTCGGACGGGCAAGCTGAGGTCCATGTCCATTGCAGGAGGCGTCTCTCCCTCGCGTGTTCAAGCTGTTCCGGGCTCTAGGCCTGCGGCACTTGGTGGTGGTGGACAACCGCAATCAGGTGAGTGTGGGCACAGCAGAGGGGAGGCTGTGAGGTCTGTGTCCTCGAGGGACCCTGGGGAAGGGGGACTCTGCTGGGCTGGCCCTGCACCTCCTGGACCGCCGGTCTGGTCATGGCGGGCCCTTGTTCCTGGCTCCCTGCAGGGGACGCTGAGGGGCAGGACCCAGCCTGACCCCGCACCCTGGGTCAGTGCTGGCTGCAGCCGTCGCCCTGGCCCTGGGGCAGGGACTTTGCAGAGGAGGCACTGCTGGCCCATGGGGCCCTGAGATGGCTCTGTTCCCACAGGTGGTCGGGCTTGTGACTAGGAAGGACCTTGCCAGGTACCGCCTGGGGAAGGGAGGCTTGGAGGAGCTCTCACTGGCCCAGACGTGAGGCCCCAGCCCTGGTCCTGGCGGCAGCGACACCTGCACCCCCAGCCCCTTTGAACTTCCTCCCGGGGTCCCTGGTCTCGGCCAGAGCTTTGCCCTTGGGCCTTGGCAGGAGCAAATGTTATCCAGATGTGGGGCGGCGTGCAAGCATGACCCTCGTAGTGGGCAGTTGGTTGATACTCAGCACCTCCCCTGGCCTCAGCCCCTTGGACTTCACATTCCCCTCCGCTGCCAGATTCCTTTGACTTTTGGGATCGAGCGTGTGTGCAGCCGCTTCTCCTTGGCTGCTGGTGCGTCTCTGTGTGTGTGTGCTCTGTGTTCTGCCCCCAGGGAGCACCCGCCCTGAAGGCTGCTGTTCACTGCCAGCCTGAGGCTCGCACACTGTGGGAGCTGGCCCAGCCCCCTCAGCCACAGGTGCCGCCTGTGGCCCCGGGACCTGTGCAGCAGCCCCAGCTGAACCCCCATGGCGTGGGTTTGAGGGAGCAGGATAGCTGTGGCGTCTGGAGCAAGCTGCGTCGGGCAGTCTCCTCTGCTCCCAGCTCCACACCTGACTCAGTGTCCCTAGGCCCAGAAGACTGGGGTGACAGGCTCCATGTCTGGATCTCGAGAGCTGAGCATCCAGCCTGGCCCACTGCCGTCACCTTGAGCCTTCTAGAGCTGGGAGTCACTGCACCTGGGTGGATGCTGGATGGGGAGGTGGGGACCCCAGTGTGGCTAGTGATTTCCCTTCTCCTGCCAGTGGCAGCCACAAGGCACAAATGCAGCTGGAGGTGGCCTCCCACTGGCCCCAGAGAACCCCCGGCCAGAGCTGAGAAGCCTCTGCTGCCCCCCGAGGGCCTGTCAGAGCTTCCTACTGGCCGGGTGGGCTGGAGTTGGTGTCCCTCAGTCACTGCAGTGCTCCCCTCCCATGGGACATTTATAAAGGCATGTCTGTTACGGTGATACAGTCCTTCTGTGGTGGGCTAGCAGCTGTAGCCCCTCGATTGTATTCCTTTCCATGAGAGGGGGGCCCCTCTTCATCCCTCCGTAGGGACACAAGGGATCTGAGCGTGTTGGAGTCTGAATGTTAGAAATAAAGGAATCCAACCCAGACATTAGTACCGGTTTCCTTGTTCCCATCAAGCCTGGGGCTTGGGGGGCCCTGGGAGTTGGGGTGCCAAGCGTGGTGGTGAGAATGGGCACCCAGGAATCGGGCCTTCGTGTAAATGACAGTGGCCCTGGCCCCAAGGAGCATGGTAGCCACCCATGGGTCCTGCAGGAGAGGAGGCCCCGAGGGCACCCGTGAAGCTGCAGACTGCGGGCCAGCAGGAGTGGCCAGCCACCCTCACTCCTGCACTCCCCTGTGCTGGGTCACTCTGCCTGTCCCCCGGCCTGGGTGCCGGGACCCTCGGCCTGAGTGAGGCTGTGGGAGTGTCTAAGCTGCAAGCCGAGAGGAAATGAGACGCAGAACAGGAGCACCGGGCCTCAAGGGCTTGGTGCCAGAGAAGCGAGTGCAGCATTGCTGACAGCTGTCACATGTGGGCTGCATGTTGAAATGACAATGTTCTGGGTACCTCAGGTTAAATGAAGTGGACTGCTGGAATTCTCTGCCTGCCTCTTTCCTGTTGTGACACGGCTGTTGCAGAAGCCGAGGGCACAGGCAGCCCGCGCCTGGGCCGGTGCCCTCTTGCTCTTGATAGGGCTGCTTCAGCCGCGTCCTCTCTGTCCTTGCGGTCGCTGCCCTCCCTGGGGTGGGGTACTGGTGGGGTTCAGTCTGTCCCCCGCACTCAGCCTCCCTGCTCCGGTTCTCTGGCCGCGGGGCCCGGGACTCCTTCTGGGTACCCTCCTCTCCTGTCCAGGCCTGGCCAGGGGTCTCTTGGCCCCAGCCACAGGCCAGCAGCCACCACTCCCACTGCCTGGCAGGAAGAAGCCCCGTTTCTGTATGGACGCTCCTGGCACCCTCAGGTCCTTGTAGAAAAGAGCAGTTGGGAGGCCTTGCAGGAGGAGGAAAGCTGAGGAACAGGAAGTTCCACCGGCAGTTGGGCCATGAAGTCACAAGGTTCTGCTGAGGGAAGATTCCAGAACAGCCCACTGCCCAGCCACACCCGCCTCCCTCGGGATTCTCTGGGAAGGAGGCGAGATGTGAGGCGGGAGCTCACTGTTTACGCCTGCCCACTCCCGAGTGCCGACTTCCCTCTTCCCTCCAGCCAACCCCCAACCGCCCTGGCCTGGGGTTCAGCTCCGGGTAGCCACAGGGGCCTGGGCCCAGGCCGAAGCTGCAGGGGGCGCTGCTGGTGAAGCCATGTCAGGTGGGCCAGATGGCGGGCCCAGAGTTGGGAGGAGCCAGAACTGGGGTAGGGCCTGCTCCCACGGTGGGCCACAGGGTGGCTCTGCCCCCTGACCCCTGTAGCTCTCTCTGCAGCAGACCATGTGGGGGCACTGTCCTGTTTTTGCTGCCCAGTGCTGTGTGTCCTCAAGCAGGGCCTTGGACCTCTCTGAGCCAAGCCCCTAACTGGGCCAGGATGTGTGACACAGGCTCAGGGCAGTCAGCGCAGGGTGGTCACTGAAATAATTTGGGTCCTTCTTATCATAAACCCAGTGGGAGCCACTGCCCACAAAGGGCAAGCCCCCATGGTACCTCCTTGCAGAGTTGGCTGAGAGCAGCCCCTCATCTGGGGAGTCGCCCCCTTCCCAGCCAAGCACTGTCACCCTGGAGGACCTGGGGCTCGTCCTGGTGGAAGGCCTGGCCAGCCCTGAGCCCCTGAGTATGGAGATCTTGGAAAAGTATGAGTCCAGCCCCTTGGCATCCACCACTTCCGTCCCTGAGCAGGACACCTCCAAGTGCTGGAAGCAGCTGGAGCAGTGGTGAGCCCCATGAGCGTGGGGAGCAGGCAGACCGCACACCAGCCTCCATGGTGGGCACAGTTCAACTGAGCCATGCTCTTGCCCTGGCCAGGGTGGCTGACCTGCAGGCCGAGGTGGCATACCTTAGGGGGCATAAGGAGCGCTGCGAGCACGCCACACTGAGCCTACTGCGGGAGCTGCTGCAGCTACAGGCCCGCGTGCAGCTGCAGGACTCAGAGCTGAAGCAGCTGCAGCAGGCGTCACAGCTGGCAGCCCAGGCCCCCGAGAAGGAAGCACCAGAGGTGAGCCAGCGGAACGGGCAGGCCACAGCAGCACTGCCCCACAGGCCAAGCTCCCCCTTTCTTGGGTGTTGGTGGCAGCTGCCTCCTGGACCCTGAGCCCACTCAGCCCTGGCTGCCCAGGCCCAGAGCCAGGGAACCCCCTGTACCCCAGCTCCTCTGGCCCCACCTGTGTCTGTGCTGCATCGACGTGGAGGGCAATGGCAGATCCAGGGCCAGCCCCACCCTTCCTCCTTGCAGATCCCAAGCTCTCAGAACCAGAATCAGATGCAGGCCCTGGACAAAAGGTATCCCTCATACCTGTGGGCATAGGCCTTAGTGGGAGGAAAAGGGGCTCAGGCTTCCAGAAGGCAGTGGCTGGAGCAGGGACCAGCTGGGCACCAGCCATGGGTTTTCATTTCCCCCAATTAGTTGTCCTGCTCAGGTAAGCAGCACACACACACAGTTCAACTCGGAAAGGCCCCTGTTTGATCGTGCCTTGATGACCTGCAGAAGCCTGAGAAAGGGGGGGGGGGTTGACTGCGGGGGCCTCTTGACTGGCCCTCCAGCCCCCAGAGGCTGCCCAGCATGCTCTGGGCCTGGGCAGAGGAAGCTCCTTGTGTGTTAGGCTGGTGGAGGTCCGGGAGGCCTTGGCCCACATCCGGAGGAAGCAGGTGCTGCAGGACTCTGAGCGGAAAGGCGCCGAGCAGGAGGTGGATCTCAGGTGGGTCTGCCCACCTCCCTTCAGGAGCTGGCTCGGACCACCATGTGTGGTTAGCTGGGGGTCACTGGCACAGCCAAGGCAGGGTCCCACCTGCACTGTGTCCCCAGCACTACCCACAGGGCATCCTCTGCCCTTAGTGCCAGGCTGCTAGTTGCGGGGGCCTCAGACCCACTGTGGACCCTCTGTGGGGGAAACAGACTCGAGCCTGGGCCCTTGCCCCTCCCCTCTCCCGGTGCCCAGCTCCCACGGTCTTGTGCTGGGAACTCCAAGGTCTGCTTCCCCAGCAGGGTAGTAAACTGCTGCTTCTCCTGCCTAGGCCCCCCATATGCAGGCCCTAGCCCGAGAGTGTCCAGTGTCCCCTCCACCTCCCTGTGACTTCTCAGCCAGGCCCTCCAGCCAGCTGGGCAGGCGTGACCAGGCCAATGTCCCCAGGCTGGCCAAGCTGAGCAGTTTGTTGAGGCAAGAGGAGCAGGGCCGGGAGGCAGCCTGTGGCGCCCTGCAGAAGAGCCAGGAGGACACCAGCCAGAGGGTGGACTGCGAGGTGGCCAGGATGCAGGTGCCTGCCCAGGAGGCTGGGGTGGGGGGATGGGCCACCACACATCTCTGCAAGACCACTCTTCAGCTCTGTAAATAGAGACCAGGGCTGCAGCAGGCCCCACGTGGGGCAGGGCAGGGACCACAGCTGACTGAGCACCTGCCAGCTGCTGTCCATGTAGCTCCGCTGCCCAGGGGGCACTGTCCCCTCTCCCTGGCCTTTGGGATGTTAGTGTATTGGTTCCATCGACAGGGCGGAGACATTAGGCCGAGGATTCCTGACATGCCAAGCGTAGGGCAAGCTGCCTCTGTCTGGTTTTGTAAATAAGTATCAGCACACAGCCGTGGACTTTTGCTTACATATTGTCTATGGCTACCTTTGGGGCTACAACCGCAGAATCGAGAGGCTGTGGCAGAGCCCCCGCAATCCCTAAATGCTATTGTTTGCTGACCCCGCTCTAGCGCACCCTCCTTGGGGGCAGGGAGCCCAGCAGGGGTTCAGGCAGAGTAAGTGCTTCCTGGAGGCCATTGCTCCATGTGCCATAGGTCTCCTGGCCCCGGGCAGGGCTGCGTGCTGGGGCTGCCACAGAAGAGCGCTGTGGTGTTTGAGGAGGGAGAGGCCTGGTGCTGGGCCCCCCTGCTCTTGGGTATGTGAGACAGAGGGCGAGAGATCGCTGTATCTTGCCTCCCCACTCCCACACCTGCAGAGCCTTGGTGTAGCAAGAAAGTCAGCCCTGCCCTGCTCTCCTGGGCAGCGGTGCTCCTGCTGGGGGTATCCACATGCCGGCACCTGCTCCCTGCTGGAAGATCCAGCTTTCTCTGGTTTTAGACCCTCCGGGACCCACGCACCTGGTCTGCCTTGCCTTCCCAGCTGTGCTGGGCTTGGGGGCAGCTGGGGGTGTATGACCCCGGCCCACTCTGATGGAACCAGTAGGGCCGGGCACAACACTCTGTGGAGGCTGCATGCTGACCATGTGCCCCTCCCAGTCCCAGGTGACCAAGCTTGGTGAGGAGATGAGCCTCCGCTTCCTCAAGAGGGAAGCCAAGTTATGTGGTTTCCTGCAGAAGAGCTTCCTGGCCATCGAGAAGGTGGGGCCTGCACGCCCGGGCCTGCCCCCCCGTGCCCCCTCCCAGATGGACGCAGACTCATGGCGCGCTGGGTGGGTCTCCCCAGAGGATGAAAGCCTCAGAGGGCATGCGGCTGAAGGCGGAGAGCAGCCTGCGGGAGGAGCTGGAGGGCCGGTGGCAGCAGCTGTGGGAGCTGAGCGAGGAGCGCGTGCGAGTCCTGCGGGGACAGCGCGAGGTGGGACCGTGCGGGACCAGGTGCTGGGTGGGGGTGTGCGCCGTGGATGCCAGGGGTCTCAGGGCCACCTCTTCCACTGCAGCAGGAGGAGGGCCACCTCCTAGAGCAGTGCCGGGTCCTGGACGCGGCCGTGGTCCAGCTGACCAAGTTCGTGAGGCAGAACCAGGCGACACTGAATCGTGTCCTGCTGGCCGAGCAGAAGGCCCGGTGGGTGTCCCTGGGGCCGTGGGTGGGGCTTCCAGAGCTGTCGGGCCAAGTGGAGCACCCCATGCCCCTGATCCTGACCATGTTGGCTAAGCTCAGCAGGAGAATGGCAGGGGCACAGCAGGAAGCCAGGCAGAATAGCAGCCCCTCTAGTGGGGGCTCCTGTCTGTCCCACAGCCTGTCTCTTACTGGGGGACTCAGCTGTGGCTACAGGGGACATAGCCTGTCTTGGTGGCACTGTGACAACATCCGTCCTCTGATTTCCGGGGTCTCCTGGATGGTTCTGGAGTGTGGCACTGAAGGGTGGGCCAGCCTCTGCTGAGGGATGATCTCAGTGGCACCAACTCCTAGGGATGCCAAGGGGCGCCTGGAGGAGAGCCAGGCTGGGGAGTTGGCCTCCTACATGCAGGAGAACCTGGAAGCCGTGCAGCTGGCAGGCGAGCTGGCCCAGCAGGAGACAAACAATGCGCTGGAGCTGGTGAGAGGCAGGCAGTTCCCCAGCAGGGCCCCCGTGTGCATAGGCACAAGCACTCAGCCGTGCCTCTCTGCGTCCTTTGTCCCTACAGCTCCAAGAGAAGAGCCAGGCTCTGGAGGTGTCAGTAGCTGAGCTGGTCCGGCAGGTGAAGGACCTGAGCGACCATTTCCTGGCCCTGAGCTGGAGGCTAGAACTGCAGCAGCAGACGCTGGGCCTGAGGCTGTCTGAGGTGAGCACCAGGCAGCTGCGTCCGGAGACAGGGTCCAGCCACCCTCTGGCACCTCAGCCCACTCCATCACCCCCGAGGTTAGAGGCCTGACCAGCACCCTGAGCCTCCTGCCCCACCCAGCAACTGTCCACAAGGCCCAGGTGACCTGAGCCCTGGTGTCTACTGAGCCAGGCAGGCCACCCCAGCACCAGCTGCCGAGGCCTGAGGGCCTGAAGCTGCTGCCCACGGCCTCCAGAGTCCCCAAGGCCTGACCATGCAGGGCTCCATGCAGGGGTAGGTGAGGCTTCTCCACCCCGTGTTCTTTCTCTTTTGTAACAACTTTATTGAGCTGTAATTCACATACTGTACAACACCCTTTTCGTTTTTGTTTTATTTTGATGGCTGGACCTTGGTGTTATCAGCACCATGCTCCAACCAACTGAGCTAAATGGCAGCCCCTAATGCACCCTTTTAAAGTGTGAAATTCAATGGTTTTTAGTGCATTTTCGGGGTTGCTCAGCAACCCCAAAAAGAATTTTTTAGAACTTTGTAATCATCCCCAAAAGAGTCCTCGTTCCATTAGCAGTTGCTCCTCATTCCCTTCCCCCGCCCCAGACAACTACTGATCCGATCTCTGTCCCTATGAGTTTGTCTGTTCTGCACATTTCATGCAAATGAATCATAAGCTTGTGACTTTTTGTGTCTGGTTTTCTCACTCAGTGTAACGTTTCCGTGTTCATCCATGCTGTAGCGGGGGCCAATGCTCAGTTCTCTTTATGGCTGGGTGACACTCCATTGTGTGGATGGGACGCATTCTGTTTCCCTGTTCCTCTGCTGATGGGCGTGTGGGTTGTTTCCCCCTTCTGGCTATCCTGAATAACACTGCCATGAACTTGAGTGTCACCCTTTGGTTCTGGGGCTCGATTCCAACCTGGCCTGCCCTGCTGCCCCTCTGGGACCATGTGTGGTCACAATAGCCCCCGACCCCAGTCTCTGTCCCTCTCTCCTGCAAGGTGGTCAGGCCATCCGTTCTCTGTCCCTACTGACTCTTGGGGGGCAGCAGAGGCTGGCATGGGGGACGTGTGGGCTTCTTCTTAGGTATATGGCTCTGCTCAGCTGGTGACCCTACCTGGAAGGGCCCTAGAGCTGTCCTGGCTTGTCGGACGCATGTCCCCCAAGCATGCCTGACCAAGCGTGCTGGCTGCATGCAGGTCTTTGCACCAGTGAGCTACGTGGGGGCCACCTGACTTCTGGGAGCTCTTCTGCCCACCTCCTGGGGCCTGCTGTGCTCTGGCTGCAGGAGGCCTGTCCATCTTCCCTCTCTGAGCTCCGGCCCTCACTGGGTGTCTGTACCTCAGGCGAAGACTGAATGGGAAGGAGCAGAGAGGAAGTCCCTGGAGGATATGTCCCAGTGGCAGAAGGAGGTTGCCGCACACCTGCGGGAGGTAGAGGAGAAGGTGGATGGCCTCCCCCAGCAGGTGCGAGCAAGCCTGGGCGCAGGCCTCAGTCAGCCTCAAGAAATTTAGACCTGGGCAGCAGCATGGGACCCCTCCCTCCCCCTCCCTGTGCCTGCCCTTGGCTTGGGGCAGAGGCCTGGACTGGCATGGGGCTCTATCAAGCTGGCTGTGCTTTAGGCTGCTCCCCTGGGATGCCACACACCCTCTCCCCACTCCATGTTCCAGATAGAAGGTATCTCTGACAAGTGCATCCTCCACCAGAGAGACTTGGACCTGAAGATCTCTGCAGAAGGCAAGGCCAGGTGAGGCCTGGCCTCCTGGGCCCTGGGAGAGGGGCAGGAACTCTGCTGACCACCACCCTAGGGCTCCCCCCAATCCCCTGGTGCCCACAGCAGCCCTGTCCCCTCCCCAGTCTGGCAGTAGTCTCACCTCTCTGCTGCATCTGCACGGATTCTCCAGCCCCTCCCTCTGTCACCACGGGGGACGCTCACAGTCCCCTCTGGACGGTGGCAAGGCTGAGCCCCCCCTTGAGCTCCCTTGGCCCTGCAGCCGCTAGAGGAGTCCTGCCTGCCCCTAGCCCCAGTGCCCTGTCTCCCAGCCCTGCCCCATGCGCCCTCCACAGCTGCCCTCGGCCTCCACTGCCCACAGAGAGTTTGCGGTCAGGGCCGTGCAGCAGGAGCTGGCGACCCTGCTGTTGTCTGTTCAGCTGCTCAAGGAGGACAGCCCCGGGCGGAAGATCGCTGAGATACAGGGCAAGCTGGCCACAGTACGCTTCGGGCCCTGGGGAAGCCGGCATGCCCAACCACACCTGGAGGAGGGGAGGTCACATGGTTCAGGTGGGGCAGCTGTGCCACGGGACCCTGGCAGGCCCTCTGCCCCCAGGGACAGCTGGACACTAGCATACTCTGTCGATGCCCACAATTGGGGACGTGTTTAGTTTCAGAGTCAAATAATAAAGTTGGAAAACAGCATCCAGGCCAACAAGACCATCCAGAACCTCAAGTTTAATACAGAAACCAAACTGGTGAGCCGGGCCCTGAGCAGGGCCTCCCAGGTCAGTGATGGGACAGGCCCCGACCTCCCTGACCCTAGAGTTGAGGTCTCCCAAGCCTCACAGCAGGCCCAGCAGCGTCTGTCTGTTTGCAAGTCTGGTGCAGAGCGGTGTCTCTGGAAGATAAGCCTTCTGGCTCCTGGCCCGCCCAGCGGGAGATAAGCCCATTTGCCTCCCCCTGAGGTTTGACCCCATGTTCCTGTGCTTGTCCTGTCTGCCCCTGGGCTCCCAGGTAACACCCAGCACTCTTGCATCCTCACAGCGCATGGAGGAGATTGCAGCCCTGCGGGAGAGCATGATGCGCATGTGCGGCAAGGATGGCCCCTGGGTGCGCACCTGGAGCAGCAGGAGGGCACTCACATCCCTAGTGAGGCAGCGGCTCTTTGTCAAGGACACGGCCCCTGGCAGGGTGGTCCCCATGAACTTCTGGGGCCTGTACCAGGCCGTGAGGTGGGCAGCAGGGAGCCTGTGCAGGCCTCAGGGCTGGGGTTGGGACTAGGGGAGCAGTGGACTGGCCACGGGGAGGTGGGTGGAGCAGGATGGGGCTGTGAACTGTGTCCCTGGGCAGGTGGCTACAGTGGAAGACGGTCCTCATGAACCTGGTGGCCCAGCGGAGACCAGGAGCCATCTCAAAGTCCTGTGTCTGGAAGCCTACACCCCAGTGCACATCTCTTCCCCTTCCCCAGAAATAAACGTGCGAGCTCTTGTGCTGTCAGAGCCAGAGTCCCTAACGCCTGCTGGGTGGGCGATGTTCTCCCCAGGGCCTGGGGGGCTGATGTGGGTGGTTGAGAGGCCCTGGGCAGTGGGAGTGACCAAGACCAAAAAGCATCTGGGGCCCCAAGGAGCTGAGTCCCTTGACCCCCAGAATCTTCCTGTCCTGCCCAAGCCCGACCCAGCCCCAGCCCCATCAATTTCCACAGCAACTCTAGGAGCCCCACTGACTCTCTGCCAGGCCCCCCACCCAGGCTCCCTGGGAGGAAGGGCTCAATGGACACCAAACCAAGGCATCCAGGCCTGCACCCGCCAGGACCCACCATGAGCTGCCCCTGCCTGGGGATGTGAGGAGGATTTGGGGAAACCCCAGCCGGCCCTTCCTGCCCATGATGCCAGTGGAGGAAGCGGTCTTCATCACTCATCTGGGGTAAACAGCCCATGTTTGCTCACACAGCCATGCAGTGCCCCTCTTCCTTCCCCTCCAAGAAATCCCTTGGTTCATCATGCTGGGCCGGGCCTGCCACCTGCTGCAGGGCTGTGAGGAGGGGCCACACATCCTGGCACAGTCCGCTCTAGGGGCCCCGCCAGATGGGCAGGCAGTGGGGAAAGCTGTGCTTGGGAGGCACCACATGTAGCCCACAGCCCACCACCCCTGAGCCCATGGCCTCAGAGGAGCTGCACGTCCTGCCCCGTCCTCCCCTCCGTGGGCAGACTCAGAGGCTACCATGCCCAGTAGGGGCTCTGCTGAGGCCGAAGGCCAGGGTGGCTGGGTCTGGGCACCCCCTGTGCCCACCACTCTTGCCCCATTCCTGGTCCTGGTAGCCTCTGGTGGCAACAGTTCCAGGCCTCAGGATGAGCCTAGATTGTTTTCTGGGACCCAAGAAGTCCCCACCCAAACTGAGAGCCACCTACCTTTATGGGGTTTGTACTGCCAGTGGCCACACAGGACAGAAGGCCCTGGGAGTTCTTCCCAGGAGACCAGGAGGGACAGCCTTATGAAGGGTGGCTCTCTCTTCCCCTGCTTCCTCCTGACCTCACCCACCCGCTAGGCCTCTACCAGCTGTGCCCCCTCCAGGGCCTGGGCCGCTCCGCCCGGCAGCTCGGGGCCCGCCTCGGCTGACCAGCTGGCCAGCAGGTCGCTGAAGTCTGGTGTGCCGGGGTGGAGCAGGCCCAGGGGGCTGGGCGCCGGCTCCTTCCAGAAGGAGGGGGGCAGACTCCGCTGGGTCATGGGGGTGATGTGGCCGTATTTGCGCTCTAGCCTCAGTCTGCGGCTGGCTGACGCCCGGGACCCCGAGTACTGCCGCAGCCCGAAATCGAAGAGTTCGGCCAGGGGGCCCAGCGGCTGCACACTGGCCCCGCCAAGGCCCGGTCTGTGCGCGTGTCCCTCAGGCCCCCTGGGCGAGCGGACTCTGGGCTTGGCAGCCTCATCATCCTCTGGGGGCCCACCCTGGGTCAGGTGCGCCAGGTCCGCGTAGTGGAGCTCTCTGGCAGAGCTGCTGGCCAGGCAGTTGTCAGCGTAGACATCGCCCGCACCTGGGTCCAGCTCCTTGTCCTTGTGGCCAAAATACCGCTGGATGTCACTGCTGATGAGCTCAGAGAACCGCAGCAGCTGCAGCGGCATCTCAGGGCTGCTGGGACCCTGAGGGCCTGCTTCTGGGGCGGCCTGAGCCCAGCCTGAGCTCTGGGGGGCCGGGCTGCAGCCCACTGGCTCCTTACCCTCCAGCCCCTCGTTGTGGTCCTCCTCCTCCGCCTCTTCCTCGGAAGTTTCTGGGGGCTCCGGGTCTGAGGGCAGGGAGGGCTCGTGGGACGGCAGGGACAGCCGCAAGTCACATAGAGGCTGGATCACACCTGCAGCCATCTCCAAATGTTCAGGGCCTCTGGGGTGGCAGGCTCTGGCTGGGGATGGAGGCAGAGGTGCAGGTCTATGGTCAGGCCACTGCACAACTAGCTGGACTTGCAGCCCCCAGGAAGGCTGCCTGGGCTCCTCCCCTCCTCTGGAGCCCCCAGCCCTGGAAGGGGGGGTGGCTAGGCCACTGAGGCCAGAGTGGGTGAGATGTGGGGAGGAGGGTGGGCACCATTGGCACAAGGGCGTGGCTGGCCAGGGGAGAGGAGGTGACTGGTCACTGGCCAGGAGCAGCCAAGTCCTGTCTCATAGGGGTGGTCAGTGGGCATAGGGAGGGTGGAGGAGACAGGTTGGTGCTGCTGGGATCTGGTCATTCCCGGGCCAGAGGAGCAGAGGAGGGGAGAGAGGAATCTCAGGGGACTCGGCCCTGCCCAGTCTGGGGGCTGCCCAGTGAAGCAGGGGAGGTGGGAAGGGAGCCTGTCTAGGGGCCAGGGTGCGAGGGGTCTGGGGGCTGCTGAGCTGAGGTTGGGGTTGCTGTGGGGTCAGAACCAGACGGCTTTATGGCTCTTGCCCAACAGGCTGGTGTCTGCCCTCACCATGGCCCAGAGCCCCTGCAGCCCCTGTGGGGAGCTTTGGGGGCTGTGCAGGCCCTGCCTGCCTTGGGTGAGAGTGAGATGGGGCTGTCCCTCCAACCCCAGCCTGCAGTCTAGTCCCGGGTTTTAGTTTTCTCTGGTCAGTGAGGAGCAAGAGACCATACCTGAGCAGCCCTGACCTGAGGGCCACAAAGATCATGGAAGGAGCCGGGCTCCAGGTCACTGCACCTGTCCAGAGGTCCAAGGAAAGTGACTGGGCCTGACGGAGTCGGGGTGGGGGAGGGTCCTGGGAGGTGACCACCGGGGCTGGGGGTGGGGGGCCTGGGGAGGTGACTGATGGGGGCGGAGGGGCTCTCTTCTTGGCCCATGCCAAATGGGGGCTGGTTCTGAATCCTGGAGCCCCACCCCAAGAACAAGTGCCCCTGGGCCCCTCCACAGAGTAGAGGCAGGTGGGAGGAAGAGGGGGATGGAGGTACAGAGAGATGGGTCCCAATCTTCTCTGTCTCTGAGGGATTCTGGGGGAGCAAGTGGCTGTGGCCCTTGGACAGCCATTCCTCAGGATCAGGTTGACCTGGGTACCCCCCTCCCATGTTTCCTGAGGCTGATGGGGGTTGTAGAGGAGGGACTCCCTCCGCTTGGCTGGCCACTCTGTGGTCTTGATATTACTCACAGTGCTGGGGTTCCCCCACCATAGGAGGTGTCCGGTGGCCCTAGCACTGGACTTTGGGGATAGCTGCTCTCGGAAAAGCCAAGATGTAGGCACCCTCCTTCTCCCTCTGTCTTTGCCCCAGTTCACGGTCTTGATGGGCTTGCCCTGCCCAGTCCTCTGAGTGGGTGGGTGGTCCCAGCAGAACCCCTGGACAGAATGGCTCACAGACCCCACATCCCCCAGTGGTGTGGCTGCCCCAGCAGCCCTCCCCGCCTGCCACCAGGCCCTGGCTCCTACCTGGCCACGGCCTGCAGCTCCTGCCGGGCAGGCCCACCTCCACCTGGGCTCAAGTATTTATAGCTGGGCTCTGCAGCCACCGGGGATGGCAAATATTTGGTGACGGCATTGTCATCACAGACTGGGCAAATACAGCACGTTTGCTTTAGCGCCCGGCAACCAGGCCTCACGGGGGGAGCGCCCGCAGGCCAGCTTCACCTGCACACAGCCTGCCTGGGGACCGTGGAGTGTTTGCCGCAGGCCCAGCTGGCTCACGCCCTGGGCCCGAGCACCCTTATCTCTGCTGCTGATGGGGGCCCGGACCAAGCTTTGTCAAATAGGCGGAAAATTAAATTTCATGCTATTTTGAGTTCTGGAGTAGTCCTCTCTAGGCGACATCCTGCCTCTGAAGCACTCTGTGCAAACGGTGCTCCTGGCTGGCAGCAGGACCCTGGGGAAAGGGAAGGGGAAAGGAGAGAGGCCTCAGACCCCCCTCAGCTGGGGCCCAGGGGGTGGATGATGTACAGGGCCCCTGGGGGCAGCTGTGACCAGTCTCAACAGCCCAGACGTGGCTGGGCTAAACACCCCAGGCAAGGCAAACACCTCTCACCTGCCCAAGACTACAGATGTGTTTGAATCAACGCAAATGAACCCCCTGCCCTCCCCTGGGCTTTATCCTTGGCTGGGCTGAGATGGCAATTCCCTTCCCTGGTTCCAAGCCTTCCTCTGGCTGCAGCTATCCAGAGGGAGAGGGGGGTTGTTCAGCATTCTCCCATCTTACTGCCCCATGGAACTGGCCTGAGGACATCCTCATTGTGCTACCTGACCTGGGTGACAACTGTCATGACCAGAAACACCCCAGAGGGCCTCTTCTGCCACCTTCCCTGAATCCTCCTGGGCAGGCCCCCAGCCGGGCTGCCATGTGGAGCTATTAGCTTCCTGGGGCTGCTGGGACCAGTTACCACCAATTAGGTGCCTTAGAACAACAGGAAGTTATTCTCACACAGTTCTCAAAGCCAGAAGTCAAACCAAGGTGTCAGTATGGTTGGTTCCTTCTGGAGGCTCTACGGAGGAATCTGGTCCATGCCCCTATCCCAGCTCCTGGTGTTTCCAGCAATCCTTGGCTTGTAGAAGAATCATTCCAGTCCCTGTGTCTGTCTTCACGTGGACTTGCCTCTGTGTGCATGTGTGTGTCTGTCTCTTCTTATAAGGACACCCATCATTGGATTTAGGACCCACCATAATCCAGTATGACCTAATTATATCTACAATGAGCCTATTTCTAAATAAGGTCACATTCTGAGGTTCTGGGTAGACATGCATTTTGGGGGACACTTTGCTGTGGTTTGAACGTCCCCCAAGCTCATGTTGGAACTTAATCCCCAATATGGTATTTAAAAGGTGGGGCCTTTAAAAGGTGAGTGGATTGTGAAGACTATGTCCTCATGAATGGATTAATCCATCCATGGATTGATGGGTTAATAGTTTAATGGGTTATCAGGAAATACGCTGGGGGCTCTTGCCACTCTCACCATGTGATACCCTGCATCACCATGGGACTCTGTAGAAACTTTCCACCAAGAAGGCCGTCACCAGATGCACTGCCTTGGCCTTGGACTTCCCAGTCTCCAAAACTGTAAGA